GCGCCAAGATCGCCGACTGAACGCATATCAAAGGTCGATAGACAGTGGGGAGAAGATCGTCAGATCCAACCCGAGAAATGAAGATAGCCAGCTATGGCGCTAAGATCGCCCGGCTGAGCGCATATCAACAACCGACAGACCGTGGTGCCAAGATTGCCCGGTCCGACCCGGGGAATGAAGGTATTCAACTGTGGCGCCAAGATCATTCGACTGAGTGCATATTAAAGATCGACAAACTGACGCACCAAGATCACTCAACTGAGCGCATATCAAAGACCAATTGATTGTTGCGCCAAGATCGTCTGGTCCGACCAATGGAATGAAGATAGCCAGTCGGGGCTCCAAGATCATCCGACTGAGGGCATATCAAAGACTGCCAACTCATGTCCACAAGATCGCCCGATCTGACTCGTGGAATGGAAACGACCGTCCGTAGTGCCAAGAATGGTCCATCTAGTTAAATCCCTGGAGGCAGCTCCCAACCAAACATCGAAAAGCACCTTTAAGAAAAAGGCGTGAATCACCCCGCCGCAGAGCCTAGGCAATAATTTTAGTTGAAGAGGCAATGAGACCCCCACAAACCTACAAACAAAAAGGTATAAAGATACAAATCAAAGACAATCAAACCACTTCATATCATTCCAAAAGAAATTTGCAATCACAAAATTGTTGTGTTTACAAAACATTGGCTATACAAAACATTCAAAAAAGAAATAATAATAAACAAGGATTACATTTTCCAAAAGAAGAGCTTAAACTTAGGAGGTGCTGGAAGAACCCCGCTCATTTTTAGCATGCCAGTCGTACCAAGATGACCCTTCAGAACTAGAAAATACGGCTGCAAACTTTCGGAAGTCAAGACTTTACATTGACCAAGCCCGAGTGAACGAATCGATTGATCGTTGTCGAACTCCCAATACGAAGTTGTTCGTTAGGAAGCTTCATCTGCATGGGATGGGACAGAAGCAAGGAGAAAAACTCTTCCTCGGTCTTCATAGTTACCATTCGTTCTCTTAAATTATGATTTTCTTCACGACGAATGGAAACAATTTGGAAACTGGTGAAAGTTCCTCTGCCGCCGCAACAAGCTTTTCATTGGCTAACTAGGCTTGCCTCTCCGCCTCTTTAGCCAGCCCAACTGAGACCTCGGCTTGCTTCATGGCGGCAACCCGCTCAGTCTCGGTGAGGTCCCAAGCCATCAATTGAAGATGAGAGGCCTCCCATGCTTTCAGATGGCATCGATCAACCTTCTTAAATAATTTAGGCAGCTCCAACTCACATAAAAACCTTGCGAATGCCGATGACCAGATGGCCTCCAAAAGTGAAGAGGGGTAGTTTTTGGCATATGGAGAGTTGGAGTACCACGCAATCGATCGATCGATAGTAGTAAAGCGACCATCAGATGAATTCCGAATTTTCACCCTAGGGACCTGCGAAAGAATCTAGCCCGAAGGAAAACCCCTCCTTTCTTTCATTGGCAAAGGAGGCAAGGGGGTGGATTCTGTGAGTGGCTCTTTACCTTCACGACACCGGGTCACAGAGGTTCTCCCTTTGGAATCCATCTCGGGCCCAGTCTTCCCAAGAGTCATCGACAGGCTGGTGTCAAAGAAACAAGGTTCCTCGACTAGTAGAAGATATCTTTCTCCTTACCCCTCCTACGGAGCCTCTCTCGTTTGAATTTCTTCTGGATAACCCGGACGATCCCCCAGCTCTTCGCCAGCCGGAAAGAGCTGCACCCATGAGATAAGTGTTATAGTTAGCAAAAACCTTACGCCTCCTAGCGGAAATGGTCACTTTCCCGAGTGAGACCCTTTAGAACGCAACCGCGATAACAAAAGTGTTAAGAACAAACTCCTCACTGCTGGGCCAATTTCTCTACCCACTACCATTGCTAGTCCTTTTGTCGACGTCACTCCTTGCAAAATTTCATCAGCCTTCCTCTTAGCCAACCTCCGCGGCCGCCTCCTTTGACCACAAGACCTCCGCGACATCAGATGCAGCCGACAACTCCGTCGTCATCTGACCCGATGCTTTCGAAAACATAACTCGCCTTATGGTTTCCGGGTTGGTGTATCGGGGAACCGAAAGCAATCGGCCCTCGATGTCAAACCTCTCGATCCGAAGGAGTTTAGTGCCCTTCCGCTTCCGATAAGAGACGCCAGACGGAACCTTTCAAATCCCCCATCCCTCCACACAAGAGGCAATGAAGAACTTGCATTTCCAATCTCGAGACTGTTGTTCCAGGCCGACAAATTGGAACCTACCAGTTGTTCCAAATTGGGCAGTCATACGACTCCACACGAAACGAGAAAACGTGGTTAAATGCATCGACGAACCAAGAAACGCCTTGTCGCCGACGGAAGATAATGTAGGTCATAATTATCTCCATGGAGTTTGGTTTAATTTGCGCGGGAATAGTCCCATACCAGTTTAAAATAGATCAGAGTTTGAAACACAAAAGCAGCCGCAACTTGGAGCGGAACTGGTCTCGATACATAACATAATCTTCACCAAACCTATCGGCCACGCTTTCATCTGGGCGGGCTGTCCACAGCTTAATGGTATGGTGAAAAGAAAGTTTTTCAATAGTAGCGACATCCAATTGTGATAGAATGGAACATTTAGTAGCAAACACCTGATCGTAGGTCTTCTTCGGGGCCATATGAGTGATAGAGAATTGAGTAACAACGAGTCGAAGATAAAAGATGAATTAAAGAGACGAAAATGGAAAGTCAGAAGGTGTACTCTTGGGTCCCTCGACGCCCATTTATAGGAATCTAACGAGAGATGAAATGCCGAACACGAAAATCAAGAAAGATGTCTTGTCAAACACAAACACTTAGATTTGCAAAAACAATCTACTATTAAAAAAATCATGATTGCACGAAGATTTAGTCTGAAAGGAAATATTTCACCAGTTGATCCTCTGCCGCCTAAGTTTAGCTAACCTCCTAAATAAATACTGACCACCGAGCTTAAATTGATTCATCCAATCAGCCTCAGATCTGACTTTCAAGACAAACACGTCCTCCCAAAACCCGACAAATCTCGCAATGAAGACCAGCTGCTTCCTCGCTCATCTCCTCTAGCACGTATTGCAAATTCCCTCCCTGACGGGCCAAAATTGTCTCTATTTTCAACAGACGACATGCCAGAGCCCTCGGGGACAACCAACTGTCCTCAAGGGCCTCATCCCGAATCACGTCAGGTCTGGCCAAACAACTAACCACATCCACATCACCGCCAACTAGCCCCTTTGGAGCCGACACTGTCCGTGAGATTGGATCACCGTCACTAGCGTCGGCCGACAATTGTCCAATGCAAGAGTCCTCGTCTATTGAAAGAAAAATCATCAACAGGCACAGGCTAAGGGGGAAGAAAGGAAAAAGAGAATAGTTTTATCCAGGATCCGATTCGCTTCGTACCACGTTGCTCCGTCCGCATCACAGAATGGGAAATCGTCTGCAGACACCATCCCATCGGACGGAGGGGCATCCACTCTGACTTGTTGAGTATCAAGCAAGATAGGGATATCCAAAACAGTGGCTAAAGGTGAGCTTCAAAGGGTAATCTCATTAGCTGATCAACAGCTGAACTCCCTACTCCTCACCAGCAAAAATATGTATAAAAATGTGTCTAAAAACACTATGTATTATAGGTGTATCACTTGACGGTGAGCTCAATTAAATAAACTAAAAAATGTATGACATCCGTTTGGGACATCACAGAATGGGAAATCGCCTGCCGACACCATCCCATCGGGCGGAGGGGCATCCACTCTGACTTGTTGAGTATCAAGCAAGATAGGGATATCCAAAACAGTGGCTAAAGGTGAGCTTCAAAGGGGAATCTCATTAGCGGATCAACAACTGAACTTCCTACGCCTCACCAGCATTGGGCTCCCCCCCTCCCCTCCCAAAATATACTGCGGACTGAATCAGAGGACCCTTTCACCCTCGCCTCCTTAGTTGGTTTTGATTTTCTGGCCAATTTCGTTCTCAATGGTTTGCCCTCGGGTCAGCACAATCTAACCCCGAGAGCAACTAGCATCCTAGCCTAACCAACGAGTTTTAGCAAGGAGTCAGATCCCTCCTTCATAATAAAGTTGCGAACAACGAACAAAGATCTCGAAGGGAAACAAATTTGGGATGAAGAGCATGCTTTCACCCCCTCTTTCATTGCCTAATATATATAATACTAAGTGACACAGAAACCTAGGGAGTCTATTTATGTTGTTAATAAATATATGTTGCTATGAGAGTTGTCTTACATTTAAAAATAACTTCCTTGTCCTTGTTGCAGTTGTCACTATTAAGGAATAAGAAAATCGAGAATTTAACATATACGTCGAAAATGTGCCAGCACAAATCACGAAGACATCGCATAGGTAACTGAAGAAGTGACGTGGCCTTGTGGGGCCTACAATGGGTTATCTAAGGGTTTCATGATTGATCGACCAGTTTCCTCCTTGCATCGTGAAAACAGTGCATTTCAGACAGATAAGGGAGGATTCGCCCCTGAAGAATCCAATTAATTAAATCCGTCCGGTCGAGCCCATCACCCTCTAGCTCGGGTAGATTAGGAAGAAGAAACGACCCCTTCAACTTCAGGGTTGATGGCGGGACTTTTGGTGAGTAGTCACCCGACCTTATTGTCACTTGGCCACGGAGCCACCAGGTGTAGTGGCCACTCAGCCTAATGACAACCAAACGACCGTATCTGTGGGTCTCATGGGTGATATTCATGTATAGAATAAAATACCGCCGCCGTATCTAAACATTCTAGGGGTATAATATGTAAATGTACAAAGATTTTTTTTCTATAAATAGGGGGTCCATTTCAGAAATAAATGTTACATAAATTTACTGTTCTTTACTTTGCTATTGCTCTCTCTCTCTCTCATCCCTAGCTCTCTATTTCTTAGGCAGGTCTCCCAGACATATTAGGATTCAACATTACTTATTTTGCATTCAATGAACTTTTTGGATTTTAAATTGCAGGTCAACAATTAATCAAGAAAATGAAGCCGCTTTTTGAAGGCATTGTTATTGAACCCTGCTTACTCCATGGGGACCTTTGGAGTGGGAATATAAGCTCTGATAAGAATGGAGAGCCTGTCATTTTAGATCCAGCATGTTACTGTAAGTTTGGGTTCAGTATGTCTTCTCTTTTGCTGATAATTTGCTTACAATGCCATGTAAACTTAATTCGCAGATAAAAAATATTTTTAGTAGTTGTTTCTTAGCTGGTGTTTGCAATTCTAAATTATTCTAAATACAATGTAAAATGAAATAATGTTTTTGTAATACTTCACTAGTGTTTGTCTGTTTGTGAAAAAAAATTAAAGTTTACTTTTTGTGCATGGTTTTTTGTCAAGTATTTCAAATAATTGCGACTGCAAGCAAGCAGTAATAAAGGTTGGTCGTTGGTTAGTGGTGGTGGTGGTGGAGGATGATTAATAGCAGGGGGCGATTTGGAGTTTTTGCTTCACATAAGTTGTATTTGAAACTAGCCTAAATCTGGTGAATTTCGAATATATTGAAAATAAATTAGAGAGAATTCCAAATACATTTGAATTTTCTGACTAAACACTAGAAATTATAAAAGTCAAGCATTTAATTTACATTGTGCCAGGAATACTTGCAACCAAACAGCCCTTTGGATGAAATGATTGGCGTAACATCTATTGCATATATGATGATTGAAAGTAGATTTAGATGATTTGGATGTCTGTAACAACTGGTAGAAAATATTGCTGTTGCATGTGTAGATAATATGCCTATTGCATGTGTAGATAAAATTGTTATTAGAGAATTAGGAAGAATAAGCAGTAGACCGTAGTTGACATGGATAAAAGTTGTTTAAAATGATTTGTGAAGAATTTATTTTACACCTCAAATATTGCAGTAGTAATGAATGCAAAATGGGGATTTAAAAAAGCTGATCCCAAACAGTTAGGATAAAGCTAATGATTATGACAATTGAAAAAATAAACTTCACAGTTTTATATACTTTTTCGTCAATGTAATAGATTACTATGTGAAGACTAGAACTGAACAAATTCTCTCCTACTTCTGACGTTTTAATGTTCAAATTAACAGATGGACACAACGAAGCTGAATTTGGAATGTCATGGTGTGCTGGATTTGGTGGATCATTTTACAGTTCTTACTTTGAGGTATTATTTTCTCTTATTATAAATAATTTGCTTCTTTGCTTATTTGGAAGGGATCTTATTTGGATTGAACATCGATTCTTTGTCTAAAGTCTAAATTGTTGAACCACACTGGAAATTTTTTTTTGCTTTCACATCCAGTTCTCTCAAACTTGACTATCCTTATAGTTAGATGTTCAATACCTCTACTCATAGGGGTGTCAAAATTTCCCTTGATATGATAACCCAAAAAGATCTTTTTATTTTTTATTTTGTATTGACCAGATTAACTTTCAAATTAGGTTTTGATCTAGAATCGTAGATTGTTTAACTCTTCGGTTGTATTCGAGTTGACACATCAATTCAAAACTATATCGAAATTGACCCATTAACCTGAAATTCAATGGGACGACATACAATCGGGTTGAAGGTTGGTTGGGTTCTGATTAGAGTTTTTTATGCATATAATTAACTATTTTGATTCGGGTCTATTTCAGGTCAGACATAAAACCAACCCGTTAATCCAAATTGACACCCTACCTTTAGGTGAAACCTCAAAAAGCAATTTTTGCAAATAATATCGTTGGAAATTGTTGAGATTTATATTTAGTTTAGAGTTCTAATTGTAAATAGGAGATATAGAGGCCCTATATAAGCCCAAATGGTTAATGAATAGAACAAGTCAAAAGCAATTATTTTTTTATGGTATCAGAGTTAAACTTAGTCGTTGTTGCTCTCTGCAAGTTGGGATCAGGTCGGAACTCCCATTTTTCTCTTACGCTTCGTCCTAGAGAAGCGGTATCGATTAAAGCTAATTGGGAAGGCAACAACGGGATTGCAACGTGATTCTGACGATCCAGTCGCGATAAGAGTTAGTTGGGAAGGCATCGACCGGATTGCGGCTTTACTAAGGCGTCCAATTGCGATTAGAGCTAGCCGGAAAGGCACTGAAGGGATTGCGGCGTGGACTCTATCGATACAGTCGCAATTACAGCTAATTGGGAAGGCACCAACGGGATTGCGCGTTACTCTAGCGATCCAGTTGCGATTAGAGCTAGCTGGGAAGGCACCAAAGGGATTGCGGCGTGGAATTTGTTGATACAATCGTGATTACAACTAACTAGGAAGGCACCTTGCGTCCTGTCTCTTAGCTACATAGTCACGATTACAGTTAACTGGGAAGGCAACAACGAGATCGCGGTGTTCTGACCTGGAAGGCAGCAATGGAATTGCCACCTACATACACGAATGATCAAATTCAAGCGTGATCTAATCTTGTGATTGAGGATGTCAAGAGATGGAGATAGTGTAGGTGGTTAATTTTTGGATCCTGTGGAGAAGATAATCCTGAAGTTTTGAAGATCTTGATCGGGCTCATGCAGGGTGCTAAAGTCTCGGCAGGAGCCACTACCTCAACACATTCTTTGAAGCAGGTGAAGCTAGATCTCCCTCCTGTAGATCTAAAGCTTGATGGACCGACCACATATTTGAGTTTGTCGCGTCGAATCGAGACTATTCTGGTAGGGAAGAGACTAGAGGGATATCTGACGGGAGTCAAGGCTGAGCCAAAGGGTGACTTTGCATAGGGGAACGAATGGAGGACCACACGTGCCTTACTTTACACTTGACTTCTCAACTCGATGGTTCCATTGATTGCCTCATCACTAGATGACATTCGAAAGGTGAAGGACATCTGATCAAAGCTGAAGAGGACCTATGCTGGGATTGATAAGCACATGAAGGTGTTTCAGATTCCACGTAAAATAGAGGTAGTGGTATAAGGTAATAGATCGATTCAATAGCACTCCATAGAGCTGGAGCGACTATGATTAAATCTTGATCACTTCTCACCTATGTTGAGTTGTGGTGATCTGGATTTCAAGTTTGGGAAGATCTTTACATAGATGAGGATTATGCAGTTTCTAACTAATCTGATAAGAGGAGATCAGTCCTGGCCTAGACGAAGACCCCTTCACTAGATGAGGCCATCATCGTAATGATACAGGAGGAGAATCGCATGAGGCTGCACTCTTAGCCTAGTGGACTTTCAGGTATGCGATTTGCTTTGGCTGCCTCAAGCTTAGGCATGACAGGTGATCAAGGGGAGACTCATAGGTGCTACAACTGTGGAGAAGTGGGACACCTGAGCAAGGCCTTTCCAAAGCCACCTAAGGAGAGAGAGATAGGTGGATGTGGACAGTTTAGAGGTTGTGGTCGTAGTTGCGGAGGCCAAAGAGGTGGAAGAGGAGGCTATCGAGCAAGTCTGATGGTTGTAAAGAATGAGAGTGAGAGATAGGGGTGGTCTTTACCGATAAGGATCATGAGTTATTGAAGATGTTGAAGATGAAGCAGAGCGGCAGTTGGTGTGACTAAGGTTGCATTCACCTTATCGTCATTCAAGGGAAACATTGATATTTATGCTCACTCGGCCAAAGGTGCTCGTAATACACTGTTGTTGCATTTATGTCCACCATAAGAACACCATAATGGATAGTATATTTTGATACATCTCGACAGGTGGCAGGTAATGCTAGGGAGTTCTCTTTCTATACTAATCTAGTTGGTCCAAGAAGCATTTAGACTACTGATGGTACAACACAGCCTGTGGTTGGTAAGGGTATGATGAGGGGTACCGATTATATGATTTTGTCCAATGTTTTGCATGTTTCTTCCTTTACAGTGAGTTTTTTATCCATTAGTGTCATTATTTTTCAATTAAAATGTATTGTTTCATTTCATATTCTTTAGGCTATCTTTCAAGAAATGAGAACTGGTCGAAGACTTGAGACTGACACGTGGCATAACAGACTCAGGTACTTGGATAGAAAGGGGATGGACTCGACTCTGACATCCATGGTATAGAGTGCTAGAGTAGGAGGATCTGAAAGGAGTGGAGGATTTGATGTTGCTACATCACATACGCATGAGACACTCTTTGTTTAGTCTGTTGTGTCATTTGTATTTGTCTTTGTTTGAAAAGGGAAATAAATAAAATATTTTGTGAGATGCTTGTGAGTTTTGGTAACCATACCAGGAGCTCTTATGTGAATTCTGGTAAGGGTTCTTGTGTTTTTGATTTGATGCATTCAGATTTATGAGAACCTTGATTTAAAACTTCGATGAATAGTTATAAATATTTTGTGACGTTCATTAATTTTTTTTTCTCGTGTTACTTGACTATATTTGATGAGGAACAAAAGTGTTGTGCTTCTTGCTTTAAAGACTTTTACAGAGCAATTCAAACTCATACAATGTAGTAGTGAAGGTATTGAAGTCTGATAATGAGACAACGTATATCAACAAGACATTTGAGGAGTATTTGTCAGCCCAAAGAACACAACATCAAACCACATGTCCATATATACGGACACAAAATAGAGTAACAGAGAGGGAGAGCAAACCTTCTAGAGGTAGCCCGAAGTATGATGATCTCAATGAATGATGCAAAACACTTGTGGGGGCAAATAGTTTCGACAACCACTCAATTGATTAACAACATGCTCTCAAGAGTGTTGGAATGACAATCTCATTATGAGTTGTTGAAAGAAGATAATGATAGGATCCATCCATTGAAGGTATTTGGTTGTGTATGTTTTGTGAAGAACAATAGACCATCAATAGGAAAGTTGGATCCTAGAGCTTTGAAATGTTTTTTTGTGGGTTATTTTGCTACTCAGAAGTGATATGTTTGTTGGAGCCTAATAGAGAAGAGGCTCTTTGTGAGTATGGATTTGAAATTTTAAGAAATCCAATCTTATTATTCCTTGAAGGCGACCTCACCCTTTGGTGACTTGCCAGATACTGGAGGTATGAGGCGAGAAGGGGAGAGTAGTGATGTTGAGAGATTGGTATGTGGGAACGATGCCTTGTCCCGTTGTGTGGGAAGAATTTGCTGAGGAAGAGCTTTACAATGAGAAAAATGAACCTGAGAAAGAGTCGAACAATGAGAAAAATGAGCCCAAAAGTGGTGAGATTCAAGCTCAATGGGAGCTGAGAGTGTATACAAGGAGGCAAAATGAGAGAACAATGTTCGTCGTTCCAGTAAATCCCTTGTCCCGATCTATCCCAACTCCTGATATACTTTCACCATCCACCTCAGAATTAGATTACATAGGTGATATGATTCCTCTTCTTTCTCCTCCCGCTCCCATGACTTTAAGGAGGACCTTTCGCAGTATACACGTCATTTTCTTGATCATTGTTCTTCTGATCGTTTTGGCTTCTCGCATGACATTGCTCAGTTTATCTCATACTCTAACATATCACCTGTATACGGAGCATTCATTGTATCTTTGAACACTGTCTCTATGCCCAAGTGTTGATAGATAGCTCAGGAGGATCCAAAGTGGAAGACTGCATGTTGGAGTAACTTGGTGTTTTTGAGAAGAATAAGACGTGAGAGCTTGCGTTGCTATCCAAAGGGAAAAAAGGCAGTCGAGTGTAAATGGGACTTCATTGTGAAGTAGATCTCAGAAGGAAAAATGGATTGCAACAAAACACAATTGATAGCGAAAAAATGAGACATTAATTATGGTGAGACATTTGCATCAGTGAAGAAGATGAGCACAATCAAGGCTTTTATCTCTCTGGCTGTGAATGGTGGATGGAGATTACATCAACTGAATGTGAATAATGTGTTTCTTTATGGGGATCTACTGGAGGTGGTGTACATGGAGATACCCCCAGGCTTCAATACAAATCAAACAATGGGCAAGGTATATAGAGTGAGGAAGCCACTGTATAGTTTGAAACAGACTCTTCGAGCTTGGTTTGACAGGTTCAAGAGGGCAATGACAGACATGTGCTATCAATAGATCAATGTCGACCACACAGTGTTCGTTCGACGAAACAGTGGTCACACCACTATACTTGCTGTACATGTGGATGATGAATGAGAGATTGCGCTGCAAAAGACAAGATTGAGCAAATAGTTTGAGATGAAGGACCTGGGATAACTTAGATACTTTCTTGGGATGGAGATGACTCGTGGAGCAGAGAGGATTGTCCTTTTTTAGAGAAAGTATGTGCTAGATTTGCTCATCGAGGCAGGCATGTTGGGATGTAAGCCTGTAGTTTCACAAATTAATCAGAAGGGAAAGTTGAGTGCAGAGGCAGGAAAGCCAATTGATTGCAAAAGATATCAAGCGTTTGTAGGTTGTCTTATCTGTCCGAGTCACATTCGTCCTGACATATCATTTGTAGTAAGCATGGTGAGTTGCTATATGCATAATTCGAGAAAGGGCCACTTGAATGTTGCGCATTAGATTTTGAGGCATCTAAAAAGTGCACCAGGGAAGGGGTTGTTCTTTAGGAAAATGAACATGTGGACATTGGGAGTATTGTGACTCTGACTCGGCAAGTTGCGCTAATGACAGGAGGTCCACATCTGGATATTGCATGTTTGTAGGGGCAACTTTGTCTCTTGGAATAGTAAGAAACAGTTGGTAGTAGCGAGTTCAACAACAGAGGCAAAATATGGGGCTATGGCCTTAGGAGTTGTTGAGATGACGTGGTTGAAAACCTTATTGGTAGAGCTCAAGGTGGACCAATGAGATCAAATGAAGTTGTGGTGTGACAATAAGTCAGCAACCAACATTGTCAACAACTCGGTGCAGCACAATAGAACCAAACATATAGAGATTGATAGATTCTTTGTCAAGGAAAAGCTGAATTACGGACAACTTAAGCTACGTCATGTAGCCACTGAAGAGCAAGTGACTGACTGTCTCACAAAAAGGACTTAGCTCATTCTATCTGTCCAAGTCATGTGACAAAATGAACTTAGTGGATATCTTTTGCCCATCTTGATGGTTTTGCCCATCTTGATGGTGAGTGTTGAGATTTATATCTAATTTAGAGTCCTAATTGTAAATAGGAAATATACAAAAAGTTTAGGGATTTATTTGTAAAATATTGTAAGGCCCTATATAAGCCCAAGCCGTTAATAAATAGAACAAATTTTTCAAAAGCAATTTCCTCTTTAGACATTTTAGAAAACCACACCTGTGCAATATTTTACCAGATTCACTTTTTTGAATCGGGATATTGTCTCCGCCATGCAGGTGATGCCAAAACAGGCTGGTTTCGAGAACAGGAGGGACATTTACATGCTCTATCATTATCTGAATCACTACAATCTTTTTGGCTACGGATACAGGTCATCAGCTATGTCCATAATCGACAGCTATCTAAGGATTCTGTAAGCCTGAATTTATTTTGAGTTTGCTTATAACCACTTCATGAAATTGAGATTTTAAGTATGAATTAGGCTTTTTGTGTATAATATTTTCATGCTCATTCTTCTGTTAATTTATTTGGCGCATGGAAAATTGGTAAATTTGAATGAATGAAGATTCAGTGTGATAGAATGCTCAACAAATAGGCTTGTAAACTGTTGTATAGATATTTCACTTTTAAGAAGTTAGTTCTAAAAGCATTGTTTTTACTAATATTAAAGATTTGAGTGTTATGTTTTTAGGTGTTAGATATACAAATACATAAAATAGTGCGGTATGTACGTAAATTCTCCAATATATAAATGCAGAACTGCTTGTAGGGATACAGAGGCTACAAATTATTTGTAGTGCGCTCTACGTGCTGTTTGGAGGGGTTCGGTGAGGGGTTAATAGATGTTTCTCAAGTATTCTAGAGGTTATTTAATTTTGTTCTGTATGTGTTTAAATGAGAATCTCTTTCCCAACATAAATAATACAATTTGTGCCCATTTTAGATTGGTTGCAATCTTCTGTAAATGCAGCAATAGTTTGGTGAAAGTCTTTTGTCCTATTTTTGGTGTTATAAATTTTTTCGGGGGCATCTACATATATGCCACTAAATTCTTATGAATTTGCATATCTAACACCTAAAATTCACTTTTTACATTTATAACATACAAATCTTTCATATCATATAAAAAATATCGTCATTTTAACTTTTACCAAGTGAAGTATATCTTTTTCATACTCATTAATTTGTTAAGTATGAATTAGGCTTTTTGTGTATGAATTAGATTCCAAGATTTTTTATGTGGAAAAATCTTGGCCACGAAGACTGTAGTTGGAAATTATAACAACAGTAGTTGGTCACAAAAACCGTAGTTAGTTGCTATATAACTGTGGTTGGCCATAAATATTGTATTGAGTGCGTGCAATATCGGCAGTTGGCCCCAAATTTTGTAGTTGGGAGCCTTGACAGTAATACTTAATCACAAAGGCTGTAATTATGGTTGCAATTGTAGCAGTTGGCAACAAAGGTTGTAAATGCTAATTATTAATTACTACAAAGGTAATACTTGGCCATTAACTTTGTTGTGTGGCTACAATTGTTGCAAGCAGGGGTCTCTGATGGCTTGTGGTCCGTGACGGCAGGCGGTAACTGTTGCAAGTGATCGACGGTGGTTGTCAGTTAGGAAGGCCCATAGTTGTTTGATGGGTTTTCAATACCTGTGTTCAACATAACATTCGTATTTGGAATACAATGGTTGCAAATTGTCTGCGGTGGCTGGCTGTGACGACCGACGATCGTAGACGGTGGTTGACGGCTATGAAGATTGATAGTTATTCATCTAGTCCTCGATACATGTGTTAGATATAACAATCGTTTTTGTAATACAACGGGAGCAAACAGGGGCAGGCAGAGGGTCGGTGGTTGGCGTTGGCAATTGTGAAGGCCGACGGGCGGTGGGCGTTGGATGAAAAGCGGTGGTTGGCGGATATGGAGGTTGGTGGTTATCATCAAGGCTTTTCTCTAAAATTAGCTCTCGAATATGTGTTCTTCCTCCACTTTTCTTTTTTAAGTAAAGAGAGGGGACTATTTATAGGCTTTTTAGAGGGACATTTTGGACTAGGCAAAGAACTTCTCCAACCACCGGATTGGACGGTTCATATTGATCACCGTTGATCATAAATAATTTTTTTAATAATTTAAATGCCATAATGGCATCAAAATCTAGCAATATTTTGCTCTTTGGATTCATCTCATTGAGACGTTCGATTCGACTATAATTATGTCAAATTTTCTGTTCATTTGACCATTCAATTGGTAATCCAAAACTTCCAAATGTGCTTCAATGACTTGATATGTGCTTGATTGGTGACCCAACTTTGATAAGTTTATCTTGTCGAGATGGTCAACTTAACTATAAACTTGCTGAGATTGAGGCCCTATGATTTTAAATTTTAATTTACATGCTAGATCATAAAACTTTCTTGATGACGCATGGAGTCTTATTTTAATTTATGTTAAGTTGAGTTTATAACCGAGTCCTTATATTTCGTTTGTTATTAGTTGAGCGCAACTTGGCTTCCTATTCGACCGTGAATTGGTGGCCGGTCCGGATCGATTATACTAAAAAACATGATTTGCAATTGAACCTCTCAAAATCGATCGAAACGCCAATCAAACCGGAGGATCAGCAAACCAGTTTGGCTTAATAATTTAATTTAAAAGGATTTTTAAAAGAACAAAAAAAGTCAACAAAGCACGGAACAAAGTCAAAAAGCAGAAAGCCAGTGTGCAATTGCTGATTCTGTTGTATGCCATATCCATTTAAAGAAATGCCTAACCAAAAATTTAATTTTTAAGGATGTGGTTCTAAATTATAACAGCTAAAGTTTTTTAGGCAGTGTTTGGTAGCTGCTGCAGATTTATGTTAAATAGGATTTATCAAATCCGCCAAATTTTCCATGAACACGATGAAGATGGAGACGAGCAACGACGAAGTAAATCCGCGAAGTTGAGCTCCCAGATAGATTTGATAAATCCAGAAAGAGGCAGAAGTTGGATTTTATTTTTTGATTTTTTGGCTGGATTTAGGTAAAATTCATACTCAAATTCTATTAAAAAATGTGCTACTAGATCTTAAGCCCTTATTTTCTTATACATAGTTTCGGTTTATAACTGTTTTATATTATTTTCATCTATAGTTTAGGAAAGCGTGACATAAAAAAGTCATATATATATATATATATATATTAATGTCGTATATTTATGTGATTATTATATTTCTTATTTAATTTTTTCGAAATGAATTTTTATGAAAATTTTAAAATAACATGTTAAAATCAGTATCTTGTTAGTTATTTAAATATTGATGCATTTATTTTATATTTCATAATTATTTTCTTAAAATTACATTATTTATGTCACATTTAAATAAATTTATAATTTGTTACATCTGGCAGAACCCTTGATTCAACTTTTGAACCTCCTCTTTTACTGGTTCAATAATCGATTGTTAGAACCTTGTTCTTTACTCTAATTGCTTATATTTATTCCCATATATTATATATTAAAAAAATGTCATAATATCTATTTTGAGTTTTATTTATGTAAAACCCTCTACAATTTTATAGCAAACATTAATAAGAACATCAAAGTTTTAAAAAATATTAAGTTACATGTCAGAATTAATTGTTATGATTAAAAAAAATAAATAAATAAAATATTTTTTTATTTATTTAAAAGTATTTTGTTTTTAAGATCAAATTATAAGACCTTTTACACAAGTTTCCTCTTTTCCTTTGTTGTGTATATTTTTAATAGAGATGAACAAAACAGTTAATAAAAGCAAAGAAAAAGTTATTTTAGTCCAATGATGAACCAATTTTTTATTATTATTATAATAATTATTATTATTATAATAGAGGTATGGATACATATTTAGCTCTTGAGTATTATTTCAAATTTAAAAGGAAAGATAGCATTCATTTGTCGACGATGAAGCCTAAATTTTAGCTAGGAAAACTGAGGGTTACATTGAATTAGATATGTGATTACGCTATCAAATATTTTTCAAAAATTATTTTCAAATCTGTCATTTTGTTCATTAAGCACAAAAAAATTGTCTGTCAAACAACCAATCAAACACATGCAAATTACACAAATGTTGGTGCACAAGACGTTTGATACAATAAACTAATATGTTAGTTTACACAATATTTATCACAGGGTAGAAGATATACACCCAAACATATTAGCCCACATTTATCAATAAGAAGTATAACATATAAACATGATATCCCACCACAGATAATGGTTTATTGAGTATGTGTGAGCAAGATGTAAAACTAATTGATACTCAATCACAAAAGCTATTAAATCAGTTATATATATAACCAAGTTGTATGCAATTTCATTCACTAGAAATAATGATTATGTCTATTTAATATTTAACATATTAAATATATTGAATAAAATTAAACTATTTAATGAAAAAATCTAAATCAAATAAATTAGCTAAAATAAATATGATATAATAAAAAAATATTTAAAGATGGATAAATTTACTAAATGAAGTTTAATAACAAAAATGATGCAATTAGTTATTTAATTCAAACTAATGACGTACCATCAGTTGTTGGTCTTTGATAGGCTGCAAAAGCAATTACTGGGTGGTAGAATTTAAGCAAAGATTGACCATCAGCTTAGTCACTTTCTTAAGAAAAAAAAAATGGATGGCACGAAATACGGGTGTTAGATGCACATATTTGATAGATTTGAGTGTTGATTGATGATGGACATCGAAAGTCGAGTATTAATTGTTGATTAACTCCATTGTTTTCTTAATAAGAGATGAAATCCATTCAATTAAGCCGATGGGTGCCAGAAGTTGGTCAATAATGAGCAATGGATGCTAATATTTGGCAAAAATGAAATATCCGACTCTTATGATTGATGTCAACATTATTTCATGGATTGTTTTGAATTGTGCTAACTACAGCAACGGATATTCATCAATAGCTATTTTGAGTGGTGACAAGTAATGCCAAAAATAGTCCAATTGTTCAATGTCGAGAAATAATTGAAAAAAACTCTATACTTCTCCAAATCTTTTGAATGTGCAAAAATTACGTAGATTTATATAAGCTGTATTTTAGCCTCTCTCATAATTATATCGACATTACGTGCAACAATCTAAAATGACCCTCCCTTATTTTTTTCATATTTTTAGACTTTTGGCACTTCAATAACATAAAAATTGAGCAATTATGGACTTAATTTTGTTCACTAATCATGCTGATCATTCTGACTATAATAATATAAACTCATTTGAATAGTTTTAGTTCCCTAAAACCACCTAAAACCACATGATAAATTAATATATATATATATATAGGTTCCTGAATACCCTAATCCCAAGCCAAAGGCCAAGGACAGTGCCTCTGTAGTTGATATTGACGATTCACTTTTAAAAAGGACGCATTCTATGACGACGACAGAGAACCTCTAGTCTTCACTCAAAAAATTTTACCCAAACATCTACTTGTAACAATTATAATAATAATCATCATCATCAATTTAAATTACCACACCTAAACAATCAAACTAAAAAAATAATAATCTCAACCATAACTCTTAACCACACTCTTAACCCCACTTAAATACCTCAACCCC